GTTTGGATCTTTACCTTTGCATTATCCCAATCCATAAAAAGAAGATCAAATCTAAGTTGTATTGGTTTTGGATTTTTTTTTCAAGATGTTTTTGTTTTTCAATCCATGATTATACAAATTATATGCATAAATTATTCATAATTTTCAAAATCAACAGAATGTGTGAATGCACTTTAATTCAAAAGAATACCAAAATTGATAATTCAAAATACGTACATATAACGTGTTTCTTAAATCAAAATCGATATACGAATGCTCTTAGATTCAGCAGAATATCAAAATCAAAATAACGGAGTATTGACTATTGGTCTTGTATCTTGAACAGAACTAAGAGGATTAGATCTGAAAACTATAGTATTCACCTTACGACAAATTAAAGCGGCCACAGTTGTTTCGATGCAGCAAACAAGATTAGGGAAGGTGGTTTTGGATCTGTGTATAAGGTGACATACAACTCTACTACCCACTGAGGAGACCACAGTAAATAAGAGGAAAAAGGCGTACCTGAATGAGCTGGAGACCAAAGTTTGAAACTTAGAGAAGAACTACCAGAATATCGGCGTAGTAAATAACAAACAAAGCACGAGAGGTTTGAAAGAAAAAAATTGATTCATAAACTTATCCTTAATATTTGGTTAAATTATAAGTTATATATTATTAATATTTATAAATTAGTCTCTAAAATTATACCTAAATTCATAATGATCCAAAATTTAATGGATATTTAGGGGCGGGCGGATGTGGGGCGGCGGATGCGGGGCGGGTAAGGTCTCAAACCCATAACCCGCCCACTACCCACGACGGGTACCACTTTCTTAATTCACACCCGCCCACTACCCACTAAAATTATATCCATCTCCGCCCCAATTGGAGCGAGTACGTGCGGAATCCACGAAATTGTACATGTTTGTCATCCCTAGCTGCCACAATCACCGTGAGGCGATTAACGGTAGAATTTGATTACTTGATAGGAAGTGTTTGTTCTTGAAAAGTGGTAATCACTAATCATAGTATCACTTGTTCTATTCATTTGCATGATAGAAGTTTTCTTTTGTTTTGAGCATCTATGGGAGTAACAAAGGGGGTGAGAGGTTGCAGTTGTGGAATCATCTTTTTAACCTCAAATCTAATTTTGGGGATGATCCATGGTTGGTGGTAGAGGATTTCAATATCGTTTCCAAAATAGGGAAGAGTTTGGAGGTTGTATGTACAACTTTATTTCACAATATGTAGGACTTCAATCACTATTTGGAGGCCTTGGGTTTGATGGATCATGCGTTTGTTGGTCCAATTTTTACTTGGTCGAATCGTCAAAGTTTTTCTACACTTGGAAGAAAGTTGGATAGAGTCTTGATTTCCCCATCTTGGTTGTCATTGTTTCCTCATGCTATGGTGGAGTGGCGCCTACTTCATTGTACCACTGTCCTAGTGTGGTTTGGTGTGGAAGGAAGATGAAGTCTCCGTCAAAGCTATTTAAATTTTTAAATTTTTGGGTGAAGGACTCGGGGATCTTAAAGGTTGTTGAGGATAGTTGGATTTCTCCTATTTGTGCGAGTAATCCTATATCTCAGTTTTTTTTCCTTCAAAAATTGAAGCGTTTAAAACCCTGTTTGAGGGAGTTGAACTCTCAAAGATATGGTTGTTTATCGTTGAAGGTTAATGAGGTAAGAGAGGCCTTGGAGAGGGTACAACCGGACATTTTATCAGGAAATCTGAGTAGTGAGTTGTTGGATAATGAGATGTCTCTCTCGACAGAGTTGGATTGTTTGATTAGTGCGGAGGAAAATTTCTTTAGGAAAAAGTCTATTTCTTTGTGGGTGCAGGAAGACTATGAATTCCAAGTTTTTCAAAGCAATGGTCTGACAAAACCATCATTGCATCAAGATGCTTTCTAATGATCAAGGTCAAATTCTTGATGATTATTTTGCGCCTGCTACTGTGGATTTTTATAATAAACTGTTGGACATGCGGGATGAGCATATTACCCGAATCCGACGAATTTTGACTCGTATTTGATCAGATTGGGTTTTTTTAAAAAAGTTTCGGGTTCAGGTTAGATTTTTTTTAATGTGATGTTCGGGTCGGATTCGGGTTTATGATGAAAAATATTCGATCCGACCCAAAAATATATAATTTTATGTTATATATTTAGGAATAATTATAATAATACCCTTCTATATATTATTTTTTTCTAATTAAATCATTGTTTTTATTGAATAAAAAAATATTTTTTATTATTTAGGGTCGGGTTTTTAAGTTATATATCAGGTCGGGTGGAATCTTATTTTGGTCGGTTGGGTCGAATCTCGAGTGAAAGATTCCTTGTTTTCGAGTCGGATCGGTCGGTGGGCCAAAAACCCGACCATGCCCATCCCTAGGCGAGCCAGATATAGGGGTTAAGGATTGTCCTTTGGAGATTCTTAAGGATATCATTTATTGAGTTATCCCTGAGGATTATAGAGTTGAGTTGGGTCAGAATGTGTCCCATGGGGAAGTTAGGAAAGCTTTGTTTGATCAAATCTCGGACAAGGCTTCGGAGCTAATGGTTTCTCTGTTGGGTTCTTAAAGGCTGATTGGAGTGTTGTCGAAACGAATTTCTGGATGTGATTTTTTTTATTTTTTTAGCATTCAAGAATGTTTCTTGTGTTTGATGTGACTACCCTTATATTAGTGCCTAAGGTTGCTAATCTAATGCACGAGGGATTTTCGTCCTTTATCCTATTGTGATGTTGTGTACAAATGCATCTCTAAGGTCATTGTGGCTAGGACGAAAAGAAGTTGTCGGGGCTTGTATCGCCCAGTCAAAGCGCCTTCAATCCAGGGAAGAGTATAGTTGATAGCACCTTAATGGCCCAGGTGTTGGTTAAGGGCTATAATCGGTCCTCTTTATTGCCTAGGTGTGCCATTAAGGTGGGCCTGCAAAAGGCGTTCGATTTCCTTGAGTAGGCCTTTATTCTATGAGTTTTGGAGGTTGTGGGCTTTTTGGCTGTGATGATTGACTGGATTCAAGAATGTATCACCACTCATAGATTCGTTATTACAATCAATGGTGGCCTAGTGAGGTTTTTTACGGATGCTAAGGGAGTTAGACGGGGTGTTACGCTATCATCCTAAATGGCATAGGTTTCAGTTCACCAAACTTTATTTATTTATTTATTTATTTTGAAGGATCAGTTCACCAAACTTTAGTTTGTTGATGACTTGCCCGTTTTCACTAGGGGGCGATCAAGACTCGATTATGGGTGTGTGGTGTGTTTTGTAACAATGTTATGAGTTCTCAGGATTGCGCTTGAACTCTAACAAGACTAGGAATTTTTTTTTTCTGGGATTAGTGAGGTTGTTTTAGGGGAGATCGTTGAGGTAACGAGCATTGTTTTAGTAACCTACCTGTGAGGTATCTTGGAGTTTCTATTGTTGCCAGAAAGCTTTCGGTTCGTTACTGTGCTCCATTGACTGACAGTGTTGTTACGAGGGTGCAAAGTTGGAAGGCTCGTAATCTCTCATATGCGGCTAGATATCAATTAATTCAATCGTTCTCTTTGGTATTCAAGCCTATTGGAGCAGGCAACTGGTGTTGTCGGTTGCTGGTATGGACAAGATCAATCAACTTTATGACATTTTTTAAGAAGGGATAAGATAAGCCATTGAAGGGTACTCGTGTCAATTGGGAGGCTATTTTTCGACCTAAGAATGAGGGCAGTTTAGGCTTGAAAGATGTCTGTAGTTGGAATCAGGCATGTCTCATCCTTTTGATCAGGAGAGTTCTTATTAATGAAGAATCAATATGGATTAACTGGTTGCACTTTGTATGTATTGCAAGGGTTTCTCATTCTTACTAGGCCTGATGCTTTGGTGGATATTGTTTGAAAGGCCATGCGAGTGCAGGGGAGAAAATCCCTTGGGACCGATTGGTTTGGCACTCAAGCCATATACCAAGAAACTCGATTATCGGTTGGATGGCAGTGTGGGATAAACTCCCAACGAGAAACCACCTTATCTTGTTTGGGTGGAATATTGATGAAACGTATTTGTTATGTTCGAATACGTGTGAAACCCGAGATCAACTTTTTTCGAGTGGGCTTAGTCAAAAGGTATTTGAGAGTGGGTTTTGAAGCTTGTAATCTGGCTTGGCCGATTATGGATTGGAGTTGGGAGCTTAGTTGGGCACGTAGCAATGGAAATTTTGTAAAACATGTTATCTTGTTTCGTTTGGCATGAAATGGGTGTTGCTCTGATTTGGAAAGAAAGGAACAGAAGGTTCTTCAAAGGTGTTTGCAAGCAGGTGGATGAGTGAGTTGATGATTTGAAGAACATGGTTCGAAGGAAGGTGATTAGTGTAAACGTGGGAACTTAGGCTGTGTGTACACCCGAATCTGATTCTTTTGATATAAAATTCACATTTATCCCAAAAAAAAAATAGTAGTCGATTTGTAACAAAATTCTGTTCTATATATTTATGCTGCTGCTTACTGAAAGGCGCTTTTCCTGTTCAGACTCGAAACATTTCTTTATTTTCAATTATTCTTTCCTAGAGTAACCAGCCATGGTATTTGCATTTTATTTTTGCTTTGAATTTTTAAATTTTATTTTTTAATTTTTTGTTCTTAAAAATTTACAAAATAAAAATTAAATTTATTAACTCACTTCATCCCCCAATAATTTTTCCAACAAAAATAAATAAACATACGTCAATCAGAAAACTACAAAAAAAATACCTTATAATCTTGGGACTTTGCATATTTCACCCTAAAATGAATAATAAAAAACATTGTAGTGGCTAAACCCTTGGGTTAGCCTGACGCATACCATAAATTTAGCATGTTTTAGTTTGTTCTAATTTATGACATTACTATTTTCAAAAAAAAAAAAATTATGACATTAAGCAGGGTACAATTTCCTACAGCAATCCATACAATCCATCAAGCCAATCAGTTAGCTTACCACCACAGTTCTCTATCAATTTATGATCTCTCTAAGATGACATCAAAATCAAAACAATCCTTAGAACCCATGGTTTGAACCATAAACAGAGCCATACCCTCCAGGGTGACCAGGATTGGAAGGTGGTGATGCATATAGAGAACCATGAGCTGCATAAGGATTATAAGCTTGGTCTGCGACCCCACCTGCTTGCGCCTGAGGCTGAGCCTGAGCCTGAGCCGCAGCAGCAGCATCAGCCATGAAATTCTGCAACATGGTTAGTATTAGTATTATAACCAAAGATCACCAAATTCTATACAACTCTCAACACATTTCATACAAGGCCGCCAAGATTAACTGACTCGATTACATTCGACTTAGCAAGATATATGGGAATTAGGTTCCACAATCATTCATTTTAAGGAAATCAGGACATAGAATTATTGCCTGAATCAATTGCTGAGCAGTTTGAACTTGTGAAGCAGTTCCACTTATTTCAACTGTCATTTCACCAGGGACACCCCGAGTTTCTTGAATGGTGACAGTTGCCCCACTAGCACGTCGAATGTAACTAATACTTGCACCAGCTGTCCCAATAACAGCATCAGCATAAGAAAATGGAATTTGCATTTGCTGAGCGACCTATAAAGAGAAAACACAAGAAAACTTTACTATAGGGTCTTGTCCGAGAACCACAATCATTCACGAACAAAAGCTTTACAAGACTGGAAACTCGTTATAACAAATAACCATAATAGAAGTCGAGTATGGAGAATAGAGGTCACAATTTATAAGTTGTGGTATGTAATTACCTGAGTGATCATCGATGGTGCATTCTGGGAATTTGAAGATCCATGAGCACCCATTGGCGCTTCTCTTCCATATGCAGAAATACCCTGATAATGCTGCTTCTCCATATGAGGTGTCATATCAGCAGAAGGGTAGTAATTGTCAAGTTGCCGAGGAGGCGGCATGTACTGAGGATTATGTCCATAACCAGCACCCACATTAGCATTTGGTGGGACACCTTGAGATGGACCCCAAGATTGATGAGGTGGAATGTGGTCCATCTGATGATTAGACCTTTGCATCTGGTGGAAACACGAAATAGATTTTTAATTACATTTCATACAATGAGGTACAATTGACAGCTGGTCAGCAAATATTGAAGCCTCACATGCATTTCAAACAATGGAATTATACTGTGGTCCACTAAGAACTTTCTGAGATGAGTTGCAATTAGCTCCACCGCTTTGTGCACAGCAGCTGCATCTCCAACAACTTCAACAACCCTATCATCTTGAAGAGCAAAGACAGGAAGGTCTTCTGCAGCATTTCAGAGAAAGAGAAAAGAAGCTCAAATCATGCAAAGCACATGAGAAAATTACAAGAAAAATCCTTTGAGGAAAATGATAATCGAATAAATCAAACAAAGGTCCACATTATGTCATATTCTCGACATTATAATTTGATTTAGGGAAGCAGTAAAATCACTTGACCACATCTTCTTGAAAAATGTGTGTGCCCGCGCAAACATGGAGCAATATGAAATAAAATCAACATTTGAAAATAGTTTTATATGGATTGATCATTTAAAGCTTTACTCTTTCAGAAACAATAAGTACAAAGGAAACGGTAGAAGTTGTAAGAAACAGAATCTTAAGAAGAATACCTGCTCCAAGAACTCTAACAATACAATTAGAAGATTCTTGAATGGATTTGACAGTTGTTCCTTGTTTTCCAATCAAACTTCCGGCTTGTGAGGCAGGGACTAGCAGCCTTGTTGAAACCTTGGCTCCCACGGCTGTAGGTACATGAGATGGATCGCCGTCCAAACCATCAACAATGCGTTTATGGACCCTCAAAAGCCCATCTATAGCAGGTGGAAAGGGAGAATCAGGCTCGTCCTTAGCAGATACCATTACCTATTCACAATACAAAGCAGCAGCAGCAAGCACACAGACTGTGTTACAACTCACAGCCCATACGAAAAAAATATATATATATGGGAATAGAAATTAACAAACCAATACAAACCCCGATTCTTAAATCCATTAGCAAATATGAAGCATACTATATTGAATAGGTGAAACAAATACTAGACCAGATTTGATATAACATATCGTTGAACTCCTTTCATTTAAAATAAAATTACATGTGTTTTTTCAGAAATGATACAAACTTTCACTTGAACTGTTTAAATTCAGCAGGGTTAATATAACTTTTTCTTAATTATTTCTTCAATATGATGTCCAGATAATCCATGCAAGCAACTATCCTTGTCTGCAGTAAGGGACCGCTTACTAATCACATTGTTTTTGCCTGATAAGGTTTGTAAGTTAACTGGGTCAAAGGTTATGAATTTTACTGGAAACTACATCATATGTGCATTGAAATATGTTATTAAGACAGGTTTTACATGGTTTTGTATATATATTTAAACCATATTATTGTAGGCATATTTTTGATGACTCCACATAAGTACTTTAGTTTCATTTCCACGGATTAAAAAGCCATTTGCAGTATGCTCAGGTTCCCTTTAGAGTTTCTTTACTATCTGTGGCAAGACACCAACCATCCAGGTTCTAGAGTTACCAGAAAGAAAGCAGAGCTTCTTGTTCGGACAAGATTTGTCTGTTAATTCAGATCAAACCTTCATAAATTTGAAACACACAATGCTGATCCCTGCAATCTGGGACTTTGGTTCCTTAAAACTGGAGTCTGATTGATGTCAACTTCTTAACCTGCACAGACTCATTGTTGTTATTGCAAAGAAGGGCACTGTAGTTATATTTTATCGATTGCTTATGATCTTCCTTACAATCTTCTACAATTGCCCAAATCTTGAGAATGAAATCAGACCATGGGCAAGTAGTTCACTGCTAATGTGTTGTTAGTTTAAGATGTAATGAACTATTATTATGAAACAAAGAACTTTATTTCACATGACTGCATGTTAAGTTCTTAGAATCTTACATCCATTCTTCTTTATCCGTATAGTCTTAGTCCTAGAAGACGCAAAGCACACCAAGGTGCAAAGGATCTCTGGAGCCTCGGAGCAAGACAAAGGTGTTCACCTTTTGTAGGCAAGGCGCACTTTTTATGCTAAATATCTTATAAATCAATTCTGGAGCATATCCATACCCATTATCTACTAGTTCACTCCTGAACCACCTAATCTCCTCTCCACACACTATCCCTTTAACATTATTTGTCCTCTCATCGACCCATTTCTATCATTCACAAAATTTTAGTTTCCAAAACATTTCACCACAGAATTAGGTTTTTTTATATAAGTTGGAGGTCTCATTAAAAACTCCCTTCTTATTCGTTCACATACTTAAAGTATGTTAACGAACATTGGAAGGAAGAAAAGAGTACCTCAAATTTTATTGATAATAATACCCGATACAAAAGACACCAAGGAATATCCTCTCATGGTGATGAACACCATTACAACAAACACCTTAACCTCATATAACCTCATACAAAGCCACAGTCTAATCACCTTACTTCTAATTACACCACCAGCGGTAGGAATAAAATAGCGCAACAGAACATAATGCAAATTAAAAGCAACACCTACAGCCATATGAACTAAAACAAAACCACAATTGAAGAAACAAGATCTAATGAGACTCGTCTTCTTCAGGAGCCATAGAGTTTGGTTTGAATGAAGCCTCTATCTCATGCACCATGACCTTGAAGAAGTTGTCACCAACCTTCAATTCCACCATCGCATCAATTCTCGCATCAATTCTCGCATCAGCCTTTGTGAGGACTTGAATTTTTGCCCGATCAAAGGATGATGGAGAATGACAACTTTCGTCGATAGCTAGTAATAAACCCCACTTATCAGCAATGTTCTTGAAAGTATTCCAATTCCATGTGTGAAAAGGAACACCCTCGCAAACTAACCATACTCGACGACACTCCATTACCAAACTCTCTGACCAAGCTTCGACTAAGGAGAACCACTCTGCGAGAATCTTTGATTTATCGTTCTTTACACTTCTCAGTGAAGCATTGTCTTCGAAAATCATTAAAATCGCATTACCAGCAGCTCTCATTAAGGTGAAGCCATGAGGCCCTTCGCTTGCATTTGTCTAGCGAGATGACCAATTTTGACAAAGTCCTTGCACCACCCCACTAGACAATTGCTCAACACCTGAAGTTTTTCTTCATCTATAACACCTTCAACTTTATAATGATTCATCCTCGAATCATCTTCCATCCCGGACTTGCGAAGAACACCTGTCGAGGACTTTCTCCAATAGGAATGTCGAGGTTTGAATTTAGCGAAAGAAACACCAATTTTGTTGTCGTCGATACGAGAGCCATTCATTTTTGAGATTGCTCTCCTTGCTTCTTCGATTGATGCGAAGCGAATAAAACCAAAGCGAACTCCTTTTGAATTCCTTTTATTTGGAATAAAAGCATCAAGTACCCGACCATGAGAGCAAAAAAGAGATCCAAACCTCTCCCAATGAATCTTCTCTGGTAAATTTTCAACAAATAACGTGAAGCATCCAGACTTATCAACTCTGCACCCCTTTGTGATCGACTCCCTGGATCCCTCGTGTACACCATTTACTGCAGATTTTTCATCGCAGCAAACTTCTTTAACTGACACATGAAAACTAGGAGATGCTACAGAAGGTGGAATTGACAATGGCAGTACTGGAGGAACAGGAAAACCTCCATACTTGTCAAAATCAGAATCTGTAACTACTCCTTTAACAACAAGATTCTTCCTTGCCATCTCGATGTGCAAGGAATTTAACTTAGCGTCAAAAACTATTTTCTGAAGGACATCCTTGGCAGCAACTACAAATTTAACAGTTGAGAAGAGTGCGAAACCCTTGGGCTTATCTCCCTTGAAGCTCAAATGTGAATCTTCAAAACCTGGAAGCCATCTCAGAAAATTTTGCAACTCTCTCTCTTTGACATCTTCAGGCAGACCCATAATGAAGATAGTACAAACCTCATCACGAAGAGAAAGGTGAGATGACAAAGAATGCGCAGCTGCAAGGGTGAAGGAACTTGAACCGGAGGTCTCATCTTGAGAGAAGGTAGGATTCCAGCACTTGGCATGATGACTGACTGTTGAAATAAAACACCTAGAGACTTGACAAACTATCCTGGATTTTGAATGCAGATTTGAACGAAAAAATCAGAGAAGTAAAATGCTAGGTAAGATATGCCTCCAAACATGAAAACCCAGAGCCAATAACTACGATCTGGAAAAATAAGTTTTTCACAAGAAGATCCATTGACCACCAGTGATTATTCACAGTAGAGAACTTGGGTTTTTGTCACGAGCATCCGACGAGTACAGTGGAACGGTTAAAACGAAACTCGGGAAACTGGTGGTGGAAAAGAACGGCGAAGAAAGGCAAGTAGATTTGCTTCGATTGAAAAGGAATCTAACAAAAATAACCAGGAAAAAGGAAACGTTGTGGGTAGATGAATATCCTTGAGAAAAACGGCGTCAAAAGAATGTCGAAGTGCGGCGGTGGACGGTGGTCGGAAGACGGAAAACGGTGGTTGGAGGACGGCGGACGATGGTCGGAGGACGACGGACGACAAGCGACTGAAGGTGAAGACTAATGATGAATGACGGTAGTGAGGGTTGTATAAACGACACCCATATTTTCTCTCTCCCTTGGAAATTTGAAATTTGAAAACGCCTGGTTAGAGAGAGCTGGAGCTTCTCTTACTTCAGAAGTTTTTAATTTTTACCACAGAATTAGGTTTACATTGTAATAAACCAACATCATATTCTAAATTCATAAAATATCACATAAATACATCAAATATGATTTTAAATCAACACCCTTATCTAATATACATTGAATGTGCGTACTTAAAAAGCTTGAAAGCTATGGAATCAGGATGATTCAGTATTTGTTTAAACTAAAATGATTTCACTCTTAAGTATAAACCAAACTACTCTTAAAATTACTTCTCTTAACTTTTACAGTAATTAAAGGGTGAATTCAGAAAGCGAAAAAAAGTTTACTTAATCAATATTTATAAGATTAAATATTATTTGAAATAAATATTATTTTAATCACCACTAACATTAGTTAACATGTTTTAAATAAAAAATATTATTTGAGAAATTATTTAAATAAAATAAAATATTATTTAAAATAATGATTAAATTAATCACTGACATAGTAAGCTTGGAGCAACCATATCTCTCAACCTCACCTGCTGCAGCACTCAATCTGCTTTTAATTCCTCCCTAAAGCGGCAGAAGCGATGTTAAAAGAAAGAAAGAAGCTGGCCGACATAACAAGCTTGGACCTATCTCCACCTTACCTGCTGCAGCACTCAATCTACTATTTAACTCCCCCATAAAGCTTATCGGTGTTAAGAAGAAAGGACCTGATCAACATAGTAGACTTGGACAAACCATGTCTCTCCACCCCACCTGCTGCAGCACTTAATCTACCCTTTAATTCCCCCTAAAGCGGCAGAAGCAGTGAGCCTTGCACCTCTTCAAAAAGTGCCAAAAGCGTGTGCCTGAAAGAGCTTTTTGTTGGTCGCGGTGCTTAGACTTCTAGAGGCGTTATGTTATGCACCCACAAGCACCCTGAGCTTTTGGCGCACTTTTTAAAACAAAGATATTAGCACTTCAATTCTTCTTCTCTTTTCTTAATTGTTTTCTTATATAACTTTCTAAAGTTGTCCCTCTCATATATGTTACTATATAATGTGATACGTATGAGGGAGTTTTTGTGAACTTAGCAACTTATTGAGGATTGACACGAGTTTCCAATTACAAGAGGGGTACACCAAGGAATATCAGTTTTAATGTTAAATCCATTAATTTAGCACTTGCGTTCTTCTTCCTAGTTGTTCACTGTTTTCTGACATAACTAAATGTTTGTCTTGGATCTTATAGTCATCCCCAAATATGTAGGGACTGAGGCGTGTTACTCTACTTTGGTTTATACAACAGTTATAGATTAGGAAGGAATATTTTAAAGCTTAACATTGACCTGGTGATGATATTTGATACCATTGTTCTAGTATTTTTCATGTTTATGGTATATATTAACCCAATATAACATGCATGTAATCAGTTCCTAAGACTGGGACAATATGGCTAAAACCAAAGAGCAAACTTTACTATTTAACATAGAGAAGCTCATTACAACATGTTGTACCATACACTGCTTCACACTAATAGTGACTTTACTTTTAAGTATAAACCAAACTACTCTTAGTCTTAACTTTTACAGTAATTAAAGAGTAAAATTCAAAAAAAGTTTACTTAATCAGTATTTATAAGATCAAATATTATTTAAAAATTAATAAAATAGAATATTATTTAAAATAAAAATGATTTTAATCATCTAACATAAGGTAGAGGCTTGGGGCAACCATGTCTCTCCACCTCACCTGCTAGCTGCAGCACTCAATCAGTTAATCTGCTTTTAATCTACAATGACAGAAACAGTGCTAAAAGAAAGAAACCGACCGACATAGGAAGCTTGAACTGCTCTCCACCTCACCTGCTGCAGCACTTAGTCTATTATTTAATTCTCTCTAAAGAGGCAGAAGCAGTGCCAAAAGAAAGAAACTGACTGACATAACAGGTTTAGGCCAACTATATTTCTACATATCATCTCCTGCAGTATCCCCCCCTTTTTCTTTTTAATTCCTCTAACTCTCTAATTCCCTAAAAAGGTGGAAGCAGTGCACCCAGCGCATCTTGAAAAAGCGCTCGCTTTTAAGCGCCTGAGAGAGCCTTTCGTTTGTCGATGCGCCTATGCCTTTAGAGACGTTTAGTTTTGTGCCCCGCGCTTAAAGCACGCCTAGGCACGCTTTTTAAAACCAATTCACTATAACATAAAATAGAAAATAAAAGCTAAAATGTTGAAGGAACAAAAAAGTGAAACAGCAGAGTTTCCAACAAGAATCATTAGATATACAAGAAAACTAAAAGGGCAAAGGATGGTCCCATGGTGACTGTATGCTTAAGTTTGCAGTCAAGGAAAGCCACTTTCGGCTGCAGAATCATTCTATATAAGAAAATATAATGGAAATATAGGCACAAAAACTAGTACAAACAAGTAGAACAGGTACAACGGTAATAATCAATTCCCAGAAATATTAACGCTAAATATAATTAAAGCCAAGAAGCAAAGTTACAAACTTACAGCTCTCTCTGTCGTCCCTGGAGGACCATCAAGTATCTTGATACGAGCTCGTGTCTCCTCAACTATTTTCTTTATAAATTCCCCTTTACGTCCAATTATACTACCGACTTTTTGTGCAGGAACCAACATCCGAAACACACTCTCTCCAGGCCATCCTGGCCACTTCTTTTCACCACCTCCAACCATTGCCTCGTCTTCATGTTCTACTTTTGGTTCATATTCTTGTTCCTGCTGCAAATTTTGCTCCTCCAAATTATCTTCCGGACCTTCTTCCAAGTTCAAGTTCTGCTCCAAGTTCACATCGTGAACCAAATTGACATTGAGTTCCAAGTTTACATCGTCTTCCAAGTTCACATTGTGTTCCAAGTTCACATTGGGTTCCAAGACTACATAGTTCTCCAAGTTCATGTTGTGCTCCATGCTTGGGTTCTGGTCCAAGTTCTGATGTTCCTGTACCTGTTCCTCTTCATGTTCAACAAAGCTTGGATCAACTTCAGCCATAACAGTTTTTCTGCAAAAAAGGGGAAATAATGAATATAAAAAAATTATTAAAAAACAAACATTTGTGTCAATCTGACTGTTTTCAAATCAAATCGTGCCAACCTTAAATCCGAAGACCCAAACATTCAAATGATTAGCTATCATTCTACAGAAAAACGAATCAATAATAGTAAAACTACTGAACCCAGTTAAAGTTAAATATCCAAAAAAGAATGCGTATAGCTATAAAACAAAAAGTACTCGCTAAAGAGAAGCCTTCACAAAATCAAATCACACAAGAAAGGAAAAACTAACACAAACCCAAACTTGACACAGACTAGCCATCATTACAACTTCAAAATATACCATATCTTTGCAAACAAAGCAAACCCAGCAATGAATAAGAGTTATAAAACTCAAATCAGAAAGAACAACTAAAGCTTCCGCAAAATCTGATGTATAGCTTAAAAACCCTAAAGCATGAAAAATCGATTGAATTTAGAGACTTACATGAGATGAAGAGAGAATATAGAGGCTAATGATGATGGGTTATTGAGATGAAAAAATTAAGAAATTGTGAAAAGTAAAAGAGAAAGAACATCTAGCTAGGTTTTGAGGGTATTTTAAAAGGCAAAAAGGGGACCATACAATATGTATCGAGTTATCTTTCTGATTTGGGGCGGTTTCTAGAGAAAGATGAATTTTCAAATTCACCCTTAGGTTAAGGTTAAATGACAAAAACAGCTCTTAAATTTGGGTTTCATGTTTCTTATTTTGGATTGAGCCCTTTTTTCATAAACTTTGTGGGTTGGGTATTTGGAAACTTGGGCTCTGTAAGCAATTATGGGTTTTTTCTTCTTTAAAGATTCAGCCAAGATGATTAGTCATATTATATAAATTGGTACCTTAAGTTGGCAAATTCTTTTAAATTGTTATTTTGTCTCATATTGATACCTGAAATTGGAAAAATATTATTAAATTAGTATTAATCTTATAAAAAAAATCAAATTGATACATAGTGTTAATTTGGTATTTCAATAGCCAATTAGATTATGACATGTCATTTTTTGAACAGATCATACCAACAATTTAATTGATTATTAAGATTACAAGTAAATAAAAGTATCAATTTAATATTTTTTTAAATTCGAATACTAATTTAAAATAAAATAAATTTCAACTATCACTTTAAGAAAAATTACCAAAATCAGGTCTCAATTTATATAATAAGCTTAAATAACTCATAAAACCAAATAACTCAACCTCTTTAAACCCACTAATTTAAGTCACATCTAATTTATTTTTAGGGTAAACTATACCAATGACCGCTTAACTATAACCCATTTTCATTTTTACCATCATTTTTGAATTCTTATCAATCAGGTCATCTAACTATTTAAATGCATTCAATCAAGCCACTTGTCATTAACATTTGACGGTGCTAACAGTTAAAAAAATTGGTATAATTACATATTTAATCCTCAATATTTATGATTTCTATCATAACAATTTAATAAAATTTAATCCCCTATTATTTAGTGACACGTGTCACCATCATATTGGAACATATTTTATTATTTTTAATTATTTAATTTGTTTTACTTTGTATTCAATAAGAATTTAAAAAATGGTGACATGTGTCATCACCTTGATTGCTAGCAAAACAATGTAAAACAAAACCTGCTCGGTGATGACACATTTCACCCTTTTTCTAAAGTCCATTTGAAAAACAAATTGATAGGAAAATATGCTTCTAAGGGGGATCGGACTTAGGACTTCTACGCAAGTTTAGTATAATCTAACAACTGGACCAATGCTCAATTTGGTCTTTGATATTAAAACGTATTATATTTAACTTGTATTACAGCGAAAACAATAAAATGAATCAAACCTTGATTTTTTACAGAATATTAAATATATATACTTGAATTATAACGAAAACAATAAAATGAATCAAACCTTAATTTATTTTAAAAATTTATATTTAATTTTATACAATTATGTTTAATTTATAAATATTAAATTTATTTTAATTTTAAATCTTATATTAACTAAATTATATATGAAATGAATATATTTATATGTTATTAATTAAATTTGTTCAAATAATTTTCCTGTTTATATATTTAATATGCTGTAAAAAAAATCAAAGTTTGATCTTCGTTATAATACAAGTTAAATACAGTATGTTTTGATAAATAAAAACTAATTCAGCATTGGTCCGGTGTTATGAATACAATTAACCCGCGTAGAAGTCCCAAATTTGATCCATTTTAGGTGCGTATTTCCCTTTCAATTTGTTTTTCAGATGGCCTTCAGCTACAAACAAAATATATAAAATCTTGTAAACAAATTCCAATTGATGGTGTTAATCTAATGGCTTAGGCGTGTCTTGAAAATGACCAACGTATTGGTTCGAACCTTTATAGAAGTAGTTTATATTTTACATTGTTTTGCTTAACAAATAAGGTGGTGACACGTATTAGCATGTTGGATATAAAATAAAACAAATTAAATAATTAAAATTTATAAAATATCCTTTAATATGGTGGTGACACCACCTAATTCGAGATTAAATTTATTAAATTATTATTAAAATAATGCCCAAATTGATAGAATATATAAATATTGAGGATTAAATGTGTAATTATACCAATTTTTAACTATCACGTCGGCACCTCCTTAAATTTAACGGTAAATGGTTTGATTGAATGCATTTAAATAATTTGGTGACTTGATTGACAAAAATTCAAAAATAATGGTCAAAATGAAAAATGGCTATAGTTAGGTGTCACTGGTATAGTTTACCCTTATTTTTATAATAATTAATCTTATCTATAATGATTCAGGTGTATAATTTTTATTGCAAGCGTCGAATTTTCTAAATAAAAATACTTTAATCTCAAATAAATAATGAAAGTAGTATAGTGAAGTAGAGGTCGATCCACAGAGACTATGGAAGTCTTGATAAATTTACTTGTTTCAACCCTTTGATTTAAACTGAAAAAGTAAAAAATGGGATTTAGAACCAGTGTAAATAAATAAATAATAGTAAAAATAAAGTAATAAGCGAATGATGAAAATAACGTAAGAATTCAATGGGATTGACTTAGTCTTATGCTTTGTTTAGCCTTAATTTCTATTGATCAATGAAATAAAAAAAATTATCCTTGATGCACGCCGATTACAATTTATAGGGCTCAACCCCACAACTAATTCTTCTCTTCGGTTAACCGAAATTTTCAAGTTTATATTCGAAATTAAGTCATTGCTGGTCTAACCACGTCTATCACCATTAGCACCAAGACAACTTTGAGTTATGAAAGAGCCCAACTCGAGTTATAGCATCTTATTGAGAATCGAACTCTATCTTGACTCTCCTTAGTGGATCACCACTAAATTTGTTCATAGTAAGTCGAATTACTATCAATTGATCTAACTTCCAAACTTTAAACCAAAATAAACTTCAAATCAAGGTGCGCATTTTGAGTTAAAGATGTAGTAACTTTTAAGTGAATTGACAATTGCCACTCTCACTTTCCAGAGAATCAAAGAATACAATCTGAAAGTATGTAGAACAAGACTCAATTCTCACGATTTAGAATTGAACATCGCAAAGCTTAAGATAATTGGGAGTTAAGCTAAGCGTGGATTGGATCATGCTTAACACCGTGAAAAGAAAATAATAAATGAAAAGGAAAAGAAAAGAAAGATAGAACTTCAATAAATAACCAAGGAAATAACAATTCTAGTTTGTCTTCAACTGTGAACCAAAACAGTATTTCTCTATCCGAGAGTTCTAAGCAAACAAAATAACTAATTCCTAAGCAAAAGATAATGAGGGTGCTTGGCAAACAACTGATAGCTAGTAGTTGATTCTAGTTGCTAGTTTGACTAACTGATTAGATTAGCTGATTTGATTAACTGTTTATATAAAAGTGTTTGGTAAAATTTAGTTGATAGCTGATATGGGTAAAATGAAAAATAAGGGTATATTACATATAGTTGTTAAGTACATATATGTTTTATAATACTTGGTCTTTATTGTGGTGAAGTTATTCAGATAAAATGCTTTTGACAAGGAATTAAAAATTCCTTAAGAAAATTAGAGAATATTTTTTGAAAATTTTGAATATATTTTGAAAATTTAATATTTACAAATATTAACCTTGTTAGATTGATACATACTATTAACTTTATATAAAATATCAACACTACATTTTTTTACTTTCATGTTTTGCTATATTTTCTTTACTAAAATATATTCGAGAATCTACAACTAAAAAATAGAATAATAAAATAAAATTTCAGCTTAAATATATTAGGATGAATGCTATTTCATTATATTAGGTTTTATGGTAAGGATGTAATTATGGAAAAAAAATAAGGTCAAATATGTCATTTAACATCTTATTTTGCAATAAGCTCTTCCAAACCGCTGGATTTTCCAACGTTTTCATTTTCAACTTATTTTGCACAATAAGCTCTTATAAAAATGTGTTTACCAAACACTAAAAATAGAAGGTTTGACTACCAATCAACTATTTATTTTCAAATAAGCTAAAATCTCTTCAAAAAGTTGTTTTCCAAACACCCCAAATGATAAAAATAAAATATTTTTACTAAAAATCTCAAATTTAGAAAACAAGGTTTATCACTAAAGATAAATTAAAATTGGTGGCTTAGTTTGAATTTGGTTTATCTTCTTGATAACCTCCAATTATCTCCCCAAGCATTTATCTTCAATAAAATCCTGAATTTGTCTTGAAGATAATGCGAGACCACCTTGTAGAAGCTACTAAATTTATCTAGATAATGTTGTTCCCTAGGTCGTGCCCTTGATTCCAACCACGAATCCTAGAAAAAAATACATATTTTGCCTTTTTACTATTGCTTTTAGTCAATTAATTTCAATGAAGTCCCTAATCGAAAAATAAGCCGTAACAAAAATAAACCAAGAATATCTAATCGAAAACAAGGAGTAAATAATAGTAAAAATATGCAACCTTTTAAACTTATCAAATTCCTCCTCACTTATTCAATATTTGTCCTCATGCATACCTCAATTAAACACTCTAACTTTTTCCCTTACCTTCCATCATCTCGTTTAACATCTTAGAATACTAAAAAAGTCAAGTTCACATCCAATGTTTGAACCAAATAACAATCAAAGGAAAAAGCATGAATAGGATAAATTAATGGCAAAACTAGAACTTCCCATTAATCCATCAATTTCAAATGCAACAAGATTTAACACTCTCACATGGTTTCACTCAATTCTCTCAAAGTGTTTAGGGTTTATTTAACTCTCAAAGTTAAAACATAACACATTATTACCATAGGCTTGCAAATGAATCAAATCTCTATCAATATAGATGAATATAATAAAAAAATCAAAGGGTTTTCCATGGGTTGTAACGAGGCTTAGGTAAGAGTATGGAAAAAGGCAAATATAAAGGTTCACAATAATCAAGAGAAGAGACATTTATGCACATGATATCAATTCAACAAAATAACATCAAACATATAACCAAACTTAGCCAATCACTAAAGAATTTCAAAGAATCAACATTTAATGAACATATTTCCAAAGAATAAACTTCAATTTATTTTCTT